GAGGTTACATTAATAAAGATACTGTCTCCAAAATAGGGAGGTACTTTACACTGATCATTCATTCAACAGAGAATTGTTATTTGCCAGATATATGACAAGCTAATTTTGCATCTAGGAAACCTCAGTGAACTAAAAACAAGCAAAAATTGCCAGCCTTATGGAGCATGTGTTCTCATGGTGAGGGGCAGACTGTACGCTATAAGCATAGTAAATAAGGGAAGTGTTTATGTTAGAAGTTGTGTTTTCAGGAAGGTGACCCAGGGTATAAGTGTGTGGGGACAGGGAAGATGGCTGTTTTACTAGGGTGGTCAGTGAGGGCCTCATTGGGAAGGTGACCTTGAGTAAAGACTTGAAGGACATGAAGGAATTGTCCACGAGGATGTCTGGGAGAAGTTGTATCCAGGGAGGGGAACCTCCAGTGCAAATGCACTAGGGCAGGAGCGTGTGTGTTAAAGAAAGATAAGGGGACCAGTGTGGCTGGAGCGGAGAGTAATTGAGATGAGAGATGAGGTCTCACCCAGGTGTGTAAGTCTTGAGGATATTGGAAGGTTTTGACTTTCTCTAAGTAAGGTGTGGAGTTGCGAGACGGTTTTGAACAAAAGATCAACCTAGTGTGACTTCTCTTTAGAAGCATCAGTCTGGTGCTTTACAGAATCAAGAGGTGAAGGGCGAGCAGCCAGTAGAGAAAACTGTAGGAAACTAGTGCCGTGTTCCAGGCTAGAGATGTTGCTTGCTTTGTCTGGGGTGTGAGCAGGGTAAATAATAGGAAGTGATTGGATTCTGGATATATTTTGAAGATGGGCTTTATGGATTAAATCTGGGTTATGAGAAAGAGGACACCCCAAATTTCAGACTGTGCAAGTAGAAATGTGGAGTGCCTTCAGTGAAAATGGAGAGGATTCTAGAAGAAACACATTTGAGGAGACAGCATCATAGACAATCCAATTAATAAAGTTGAAACAGAGAGACATCTATGAGATGCAAGTGAGGTTAGTTTTAGCAGTTGGATATGTGAGTCTAGAATTTAGGAGAAATGTCTTAACTGGAGAAATCTATTTGGGACAATACAAACACTATATAAATGATATTTAAAGCCTTCAGAACAGATGAAGTCACCAAGGAAGTGATGACCATAGAAGAGAAAGGAACAAAGACCGAATCCTGGACCTTCCAGTGCTAGGTGATCTGATCAGACCACACTCCCAGAGCCAACTGCACAGTTCTGAAACCTCATCTGGAAGCCATGCAGACCAGTGAGTCCCAAACTTTTGTGTGCACAGGAGTCCCTTGGACATCTCATTAAGATCTAGACAGTCTAGGATAGAGTGTGAGAATCTGCATTTATAACCAGTTTGGTGCTGATGCTGCTGGTCTTTAGGTCACACATTTAGTAACACGAACGTAGACCTGGATTCTCACATGGCTGTGCATCAGCCTCAGGGGTAGGGCTTGTTAAATAAGTGATTCTTGGGCTCTGTGCCCAATATTCTGAGATAGTGGATCTGGGGAGAGGCTGGTGTATTTTGTAAGAAGCCCACAAGCAATCCTGGTGCTCAGCCAGATTGGGAACCACTAATGCCAATGATCAGAGGAGCGTTCAGGGTAGTAAAGGGTCTTAAATCCATGTTTCTTTTTTCCTAGGAAAAAATGACAAGACATACACTGAGAGTTAATACGTTGTGTGTGGGATCAGAATTGGCCACCCCAAAATCTATCTTTTTACCCTGATTACTTTTTAAGAACAAAAGACTCTGAAAGAAAATTTGACCTTTCCTCTAACTGCCTAAAAGAATTTAAGATAGAAGGCCTGTTCCTTGAAGGAGCTAATACCATAGGAAGGAGCTCATACCATAAGATAACTATAGTGTAATGTAAAATGTGTGTTTCGGGTCACATTGTCTATAGATGGCCCAGCAAAAACTTGTTTAACAAACATTTGCATTTCCATTTCCATGTAAATTGTCTTCCACCCCTCTGAAGTCCCAAATCACTACCCCCAAGATCCTCATTTGTCGTTAGCTGAAGATGATATTTAAGGTGGTGACTTTGGCCATTCTGGTTAGTTACTCAGGTTTCCTGGGTTTCTCTCATGTATACATGTTATAAACTTTGTTTGATTTTCTCCTGTTATTCTGTCTCACGTCAATTAAATTCTTGGACAAGCCGGAAGGACCTAGAGGGTAGAGAAATTTTCTTCCTCCTGATACGGGCTCAACACAAGGTTGATATAAGGGAAGCCATGTTGTATAAAAGAAACTATATTGTAACTTTGAATAACCTATGATTAACTAACCCAGCTGGATATGTACCTTCCAGGAGATATACATGCTCTGTAGATTTTATGGCCCCTGCTTGTGCATGTACCTCCCAGCTGCAATAAGTCAATAATGTTGTTCTTTTGAGTTCCTTAGGAATGTGATGACTCCTGGATAGAGTCTATGCTGATAGCCATCATCAATGACAACTGAAAGATCTGGTGTAGTGACTCCCAGTCTGTAACACCAGAGGGTCAACATTCCTAACCCCTCCCTTATAACCCACTGGCCTATATAACTGCTTCAAGATTCTGTGCCCCCCTTAAGAGAGTTCCTTGGGACCCTAGTCCCCTATCTTCTGATTCACTAGTTTATTGTCTAATAAATGCCCTTTCTCTGCCACCATCTTGCCTCTTGATGATAGGCTTTTGTCTTGTGGCAAGCAGATTATGCCCTTCACGTGGTAACACTCCCCTACAGTTGTTTTTTCTACCATAGGGTGAATCTAGGTGGAAGATTTTGGAAATGGTTATCAACTCAGCAAAAGAAAATCTCTGAATTGCTAAGAGAGTTCTTAAGTGTTCTCACCACAAAAAAGAAATGGTAATTATGTGACATGATGCAGGTGTTAGTTAGCTAACTCTATGGTGTTAATTATTTTGCAATATATAAGTGTATCAAATTAACAGTTTGTACACCTCTAATGTACACAATGTTCTATGTCTATTACATCTCAATTCAGCTGGAAAAAAATTTCTGAATTCTTGCTCTCTGAAACTATTTTGTACATGGATTTCTCACCCACTTATTGATGTGAACAATGGATTCCAAATTGTCCTAAGTTAACCTATGTTAACCTAAGTTAATATAGATAGATAAATAGAAAGAGAGAAAGTATTAGGGCCTCAGATCCCACGTAGGAACTACTGCTGCTGCTGCTGGGCACAGATGCCACTGCTCATACCACGGACGCTCCTGATGCTGGGCACTGGACCCTGCAGCTAGGACTGCTGTCTCTGCTGCTCCTGGCAAGTGGGTGACATACTGCCACTCACACCACCTGTGCCCAAGTGCATTTTGTACAGCCTGTCTGTCACCTGTCTGTCATCATGTCCTGAGTCAGACTCCAGCATGTGGTCACCTGACTGGTGGAGCCTCATGACATGTCCAACTGCAAGAATGTTTGGGAAAGTGGGTTTCCTTCTTTTATGAAGGAAGGTGGTCTCTGCCTCCTACCAAGACTC